TGAGAGAAGATCAAAATGACGAAGGAATGATAGTAGCTGGCAAAGGTTACGAGAGTGAGCCTGATGATTCGGAGGATGACCTGGAAGATGTCTCGGAAGTAGAGGAGGAAGAACATCAAGCGCTAACCCGAGCTCAAGCCTACAATGCAGTTACTCCCAGGAAGAGAATGTGCTGCACTCAGTTTTACTACCAGGAGGGACAATCAGATAATAAATATTGTGCTGAGTGCGTTGGAGAGATGCGTGGACTCTTCATAAACATTAATATATATCGCAAGCATAACATCGATAGCTTTGCATTCCTAAGTGGCGCTTGGTGCGAAAATTGTCAACGTGCACTATACATAATTATGCCATGTAACATGTGTCCCATTTGCGCTGAGGTGGATGCACGGCTAAATAACGATGCACGACGAAGGCTCCTCGAAGATACCGACGACGAGGTCAACGAGGATGAACCTAATGAGGAATAATGTACCGTAAGTGTATATAATTCTTATTTTTAAATCTGGTTTTCTACAGCTTGGTTAATTATATTCTTTTTTACAGTATTCGGTGAACACTCCGTATTAAGAAGAAGAAGATTGTGACGGCTGGCAGAAATTTTAAACAAATTTTATAAATATTATAAAAATTTTTTTGACTTGTAGTAAATCAAATTTTAATTCATATTGCTTAATATTTCTTCTCGTACCTTTTACCTGTAGTTAAAATCAATAGTATTAATAATAATTGTACTTGCATGATAATAAGGTAAACGTGAACCTTCGAGAACATGTCGGAACATGTCACCAAAATGCCGTCACAGTCCACGTGGTAGCGGCGCGTTCAAAATGTCAGCATCCGTACACGTGACGGCGGTGGCGACGGTGGCAGCACCGCGTTCAAAATGGCGTCACCGCGCACGTGGCGGCGACGGTGGCGGCACCGCGTTCAAAATGGCGTCACCGCGCACGTGGCGGCAGCGGTCCACGAAAAATATAATTGATAAAAAATTAATTGTTATCAATTAATTGTTATCAATTAATTGATGATTCAATCGATTATTGTTTAATTAATTAATTAATTAATCCCCCTTGACCTACATTCCCCCCACCCTTGACCTACCCCCACCACTTTTGTATCCAGAATCTCCCTTATATACCTACTATGAATAATAAATAAAAATAAAAATGTAATTAATATATATTTTTAAAATATATGAAATAAAATATACTTACATATATATTTGTTTACATAAATATACTTACATATATATACTGTTTATAATATATATACATATATATAATAT